GTGACGATCGGCGCAGCGGTTCTCGAGATATATCGATAAAACTAAAGGGGAAAAAATGCCCCCCCCCCCACCGCCTGGAAGGTTAAAGCAGGTGAAAAGTTCATTAACTCGATGGTACCGGATGGGATGTATCGCCTGCAATAGGCCCCTTTTGCGTAAGCCCGAGAGGGGGTCCATCTGATCTCCTTTCCCCCTATGCAGGTAGGTGCGAGGGTAGCTAGGGATGAGGTTAGTTAGTACGTACGTTAGCACGTACGTTCCCGATCCAACGGATCAACTACGACCATTATTTTGACGATCGGACGAATACTTTGGGCAGTTTGGCGCGCCCATGCACTCCTTTGAGGGATGAAAAAGGACTAGAATGGTGTCCATACTGGTGTTCCCGGCCTACAGCTTAATGACCTATTGGCTATAGGGACAGGGAGCTCTTAAAAGCGATTCAGCAACTGACGTATTTGTTGATGTTGCTGACGCCAACTTCACTGGCATAATAACTAAAAAATCATACCTACCTACTCTTCATCGTAAAAAGTGAGGGGGGTCGACACCCCCGGTTTTCCAGGGGGATCACGAACCCCCGACCCCCTCCCCCCGTCGGCTACGCCCCTGCTGTCAGCTCAGAATTAGGTATTTCAGCTGAAAGCCACTACCCTGCGCGTGTTTGCAATGCCAAGGCTGCAATGCACCTCCAACATTCCCGCATTCGCCCCATAAATTTGCTCTCCTCTGACGCACCATTTGCTGCTGATTGTTGAGTCATGAGTGTGTTGAACGCTGCTGGCATTGAGAGCTGAGGCGACATCAGACATGTGAAAACGCCCACTGTGAGCGGGTCGGAGTCGGTCGGCGCGCTCCGCCCCCCCTCCCCCTGTGCTGGGGGCGGGGGCGGGGGGGGGGGTGCCGGCCGGTGGCGCAGCAGTGAGTGGTCAGTGCCGGCAGTGAGAGGCCACAGCCTGTCTCCCTGAGTCCCCGCCGCGCTGTCTGGTGCCGAGGGGCTGGGGCGTGTGTGTGCTGCGGACTGGCGGTGTCCAGTGTCTACTCGCTGCGGACTGACAGTGTTCAGTGTCCGCCCATTGCGGACTGGCGGTGTCCAGTGTCTGCTGTGGACTGACGGGTATCCACCGGACAGTGTGGACTGTCTGTTGGACAGCAAACCGTCACTGCACCCGCCGCTGGTAAGGTGACGCGGTCCTGTGACACCCGGTGCTGCTCCGCCCTGAACACAGGGTGCTCTGCACGGCGTGCCCCCCGCCCTGAACACAGGGTGCTCTGCACGGCGTGCCCCCCGCCCTGAACACAGGGTGCTCTGCACGGCGTGCCCCCCGCTGCTGCGAAACTCAGACGCCGAGGGAGCTGTCTAACCCTCAGCCCTTTCGAGCATAGGGGGCAGGGGCGGATGGCCCTGCCTGCCCGCCGTTTTTTTCGCGAATCACGCGAAAAACGCGGCCGATTGCAACGTAACTTTCAGTACCCTTGAGTATCTATATCTTATTCACACATTCCCTGAAAATGTCATGGTCCTACCCCAGATGACCTTTGACCTGTGGCCCGAGACCATGTCGGGCCGGAATGGCGAATCATCGGCGTATGTCGGCGCATATTATCTGTGTGTTTCCAGAACTTTTGTTGATTAGGAACATGCCAACATACATATGAAATAATGTTTGTCCCATGTATTATAGTGGGTGTCAAGTTCACTTGAAGATCAGGTCAAGGTTATTGACCTTTGGTGACCCCAGGTGACTCAATTTTACAACTATTTAGGATAGCGTTTAAGCCTTTTTACAATTTGGCACTCATTTCAACATTTGAGAAAGTTTTAGTGCCTGTGCAGCATGTTACGTAACTGTCAGTGGTGCAGTCTGACTTACTATGAATTGCTGACTGGACGCCGTCTGGGCCCTGTTTCACGGCCGCTGCCAGCGCGCTGCTATCACACTTGTCAAATTGGGTTTCCATGGAGACATCAACAAGCGCGTATCTCCAACACTGCTACAATGATGTCACATATGTGACGTCAGCTCGCGAAATGCGATACCAGCGTGAGCAGTGTGGTAGCAGCGTCCAGTAAACACTGCCCTGGTTGAAATGAAGTTCAGGTGACGTGTCCCGACCTACCCCAAATGCGTGTATACATCACCTTTGAGCTAAACAAATACCAAATTCGAAATTAGGACCCCGAAAAACATAACCTCTTTGTAAGAAGTTCTAGCAGGTCCCGATTTTCCCGATCTTTGGGACGTTGACCTGATCTGAAAGTTTAACCAATAACCTAGGACCTTGAAATCGGGTATCGTCAGCTTCCTCTCGTCACGGGCGTCGGAGAACACGCTCATTTTTTATTTCTCACGAAGCTCTGGATTGATCAGAGGCCGAACGGGTGCTGGGGTCCCAACGGACTCCGTGACACGGCGGGAGACACAGACACGGCGGGAGACACGGCGGGCTGTCAGACACGGCGGGAGACACGGTCAGACTGTCAGACACGGCGGGAGACACGGTCAGACTACTGGTCAGACACGGCGGGAGACACGGTCAGGGTGTCAGACACGGCGGGAGACACGGTCAGGCTGTCAGACACGGCGGGAGTGGCGGTCAGGCTGTCAGACACGGCGGGAGTGGCGGTCAGGCTGTCAGACACGGCGGGAGACACGGTCAGGCTGTCAGACACGGCGGGAGACACGGCCACTGGTCAGACACGGCGGGAGACACGGTAAGACTGTCAGACACGGCGGGAGACACGGTCAGACTGTCAGACACGGCGGGAGACTAGGTCAGGCTGTCAGACACGGCGGGAGACACGGTCAGGCTGTCAGACACGGCGGGAGACACGGTCAGACTGTCAGACACGGCGGGAGACACGGTCAGACTGTCAGACACGGCGGGAGACACGGTCAGACTGTCCGACACGGCGGGAGACACGGTCAGACTGTCAGACACGGCGGGAGACACGGTCAGACTGTCAGACACGGCGCCGCCATCGATCAGCCGCTCTCACGAGTGGCCGGCGCCGGGACACGTGCGCCGCTCTCTGTGGCGGTGAGCCACGCCGCCGAAAGGTCAGCGGGCCGGGCCGGTCTGGAAACTGTGGCGCACCGGCCGGCCGATCTACCCCGGCCGCCTGCAGTTCGCAGATAACGAGAGCAGGAGAGGAGGACAATGAGTGCTCTGTGACTTCCACCCCAGTCCGAACTGGACTGTATCAGGACTTGCAAAAGCGCTGGGCCGATTGACATGCGGTCGGTCCTTTTTTTTTTGGTAGTCCCATCCCTGCTACCCCGTAATTGACTATTTTCGATGCATCTACATATGTAGGTACGTGACCGTCGTGGCACGTGCTACTTAGAAAGCCAAGAGTGTTCCAGCTCTGTTCTGCCGGAGTGGCGATTTTGAGAGGTCTTTACTCTGCAACCGCTTGTGCGATTGACTGGCAATGCTTTTAACCTTAACCCGCGCCCCGTAGGGAGGGGGGTGGCGTAACGACCCCCGTGTCCTTTTCCGTAGATATCTCCTAAACGACTGCAGATATCGTCACAAAACTTTAAGGACCCCACCGGGCATCAATGTTGCACATTGTGACAAAACATTTTTCCAGAGGCTATGATAGGTTGGCTGCAAATGACGTCAGAATGACGTCATGCTGTGCCATTTTCGACCCAAAAAGGTTTCGCGGGAAAAGCTGTCAGGCTTTCAGCTTTGAAGATGAGAAAAATGTTCAAGACATAAAAGGTGTAGATTTAACAGGGATATAAAAAAGCTATCTCGGATTTTTTGGTTTTGACCCCCCAAAATCAAAAACGATTTTTTTATATACCTAATAGCCAAAAAGGCAAAAACTCAAAGTTTTTTATTTCGAAAAAACGGAATATGTGTGATAGTCCCTACCACCGTCTATCCACGTGCCAAATTTGAGATTGATACCCCTCTTTCGCAAGTTATAGCGAAAAGACTTCAAAATTGATTGGGTCAAATTTTCCAACTCAAGTTTTAGCAAGTTAAGACCACGTAGCGCAAAACAAAGATCACTATTAGACTCCCCGTGACAAGCTACATCGAATCAATGCCCAGTTTATGCAAAAATATCAATTTTGAAATTTGCTCTTATTTGACCTGACCTTGACCTGAACTTCACCAGAGCATAACCTAACCTAAACTGGCCCCAAAGGTTGCCTGACCAACATAATCGCATTTTTCATGTAAAATTGACCATAACATGAATCACACGACACTTTCGTATTGTGACCCTCAGTGACCTGACCTCTGTGACCTGACCTGGTATCAGTGACATGAAATAGCAAAATATGTGTTTTGCGAACAATTCCCCCGTCGATGATTTTCAATAACATGCCTTTTACTCGCTTTTACAACACCTTTCTTGAAATGCCTGTAAACGGTGAAAATTCGACCTTCCACCTGACCTGTGACGTCATCGGCTGGACCTACTCGTAGGTCAATGAAATTGGGGCACAAGGTATTTCCGTGGTAGGGCTACCCAACGCCGTTTGGATTTTGAAAATCGGACGGTAAATTTCCGAGATCTTGGGAGGGGGACTAAACGCCCCTCCCCCTACGGGTGCTAGGGTCCGCCGATAGCCTTACGGGGCGCGGGTTAAGGTGCTACTACACGTATGCACTTGCAGGGCGTGCGCCGTGCTTCTAGATCTCGAGAACGGCTGGGCCGATTGCACTCAAACTTAGCACACTGCTAGTGCCCGGTTAGTAGAATGCCGTGCACAAGCTAGTTGGAAGTACCCTAGAGGGTACTTCTAGACTTCTAGGGTACTTGGAAGTACCCTAGAGGGTACTTCTGAAATTGCGAGAGCTCGCAATTTCACACGTATGAGGGTCCTCTCTCTCGCTCTCTCCTTCTTCGCCCAAAGACTCTTACTGGTACATGCCTAACCATCGGATAGTTACGCCCTCAGGACTCAGCTCAGATTATGCATCCTATTCCCATGACAAGGTGTATGACGGTGCTTTCCCGTTCCATGTTGCAGACGAGTCGTATTCGTTCAGCGGCCGTCGGACAGAAGCGGACCCTGATTGGCCGGTCCCTGCGGCGGCGGGCCCTGATTGGCTGGTCCCGGCGGCGGCGGGCCCTGATTGGCCGATCCCGGCGGCGGCGAGCCCTGATTGGCCGGGAGGACGGCTCCCTCGTCTTCACCATGTCGAACGCCTCTAAGTGAGTCCACGGCCTCCTCGGCGTACCCCGGTGGCGGAAACCGGCGGAAACCGGCGGCGGCCGGGCTGCTGAACGGGGACCGGGCGGGGGGGGGGGGGGGGCATTTAGCGCTCACTAGCACTTCAGTGTACTGTGGATGGGGGGGGGGGGGGTCTTCGCCCACAGCGCTGCCTCTCAAGCGTACGGCTCTCGCGAGATTAAGCGGTAGGTTTTGCACTTTTACATTTCCGGTTATATCTCAGAAACTAATCGAGCTACGATGAAGCCATTTATTTTACACCATCATGGCCGGCTTGTGAACCAACAAGTCGATCGCATCTTCAACATTTAAAAGCTTAAGACCACAAAGATATAGCCTGAAGTACACTAAATTTTCTAGGTGCAAAACTTACCGCTAAAACCCGCGAGACCTGTACCTACATAAATACACTAGCTGGACTGGACACCTGTCGCCATCCACGCCGTGGTTCCGATCCGACTGACCCGTCGGGACTGACACAGACTGTGACAGAGTGACACAAACCGTGACATAGTGACGCAGACTTTGACATACTGTGACATACACGGACTGTGATATACTGGCACAGACTGTGAAAGACTGTGGCATACTGGCACAGACTGTGACAGACTGACACAGACTCACGGCTGACGCCTCGGTGGTGGACGTGTGATGGGCAGCGGATGCTGATTGACTCCGTGGGTACTAACAGTCTCTGCGGATGCTGACAGACTCCGCGGGCGCTGACAGACTCCGCGGGCCGGCCACGGGGTGCGATCCGCCGCCAGACGCGCCGCCCCTGTACCGGTGATCTGTCCGGCTGATAGCGTCCATACGTGCATGTGTGGCCGGGACGGATTAAAACTGCAGCGCGGGCGCGGCGGCCGGTCCGGTCCGGTCCGGTCCGGCGCGGCGGGACGGGACGCTCGATACGGCCGGGTCACAGGGTCCGTACACTGCACGTGCTGACGGAAATACCGGCCGGCCCGCCGCCTGCGCCGCGCCGCGCCGCGCCGAGAGGGCCACGGCCCCGACAGACGCGGTACCGGTGAGGTACAGGCGGGGTGCAGGTGGGGTACAGGCGTGAGGCGGAGTACCAACGCGGTGCCGGCGGGGTACAGACGTGAGACGCGGTCCCGGTGGGGTACAGGCGGAGTACGGTGGGGTACAGGCGGGGTACCAACGCGGTGCCGGCGGGGTAGCGGTAGGGTACCGGCGGCTCGCAGCAGTCTGGGGCCCGTCTGTGATGTTGCCGTCCCGCGGAATCTGGCCAGACGGCAGACCGCGGGCCTCTGGACCGTCCCCCCGCGGTTCAGGGAGGGAGGGAGAGGGGAGGGGGACGGCTGCGGCAGGAGCCGCGCGTGCTGTTGCGTAAGTGGAGCGCGCGTGGCTGTGTGTGCACGGCCACTGTGTGCACTGTGCACACGGCTCCGGGATGGACGGCACGTCCTCCGGGGTGCATTGGGTACCTGCGGTCCGGACACGCGTCTCACCCCCCCCCCCCCTCCGCCGTGCGTCGGGTACCTTTTGACCGTGCTGCGCCCCTCGGGAGGCCCTGCAGTGAGCCACCGGTCGCCGCCCTATCACCGGCGGCCGTGAGTCAGCGACCCGGCCGGAGCTGTCGGCGCAGAGTCACCGCTGTCACAGTGTCACAGTGTCACCGCTGACACAGTGTCACAGTGTCACCACTCCGACCGACCGTCCGCAGAGTCACCGCTGACACAGTGTCACAGTGTCACCGCGCCGACCGGCCATCCGCAGTGTCACCGCTGACACAGTGTCACCGCTGACACAGTGTCACAGTGTCACCGTGTCACCGCGCCGACCGCCCGTCCGCAGAGTCACCGCTGACACAGTGTCACAGTGTCACCGCTGACACTGTGTCACAACTCACAGTGTCACAGTGTCACCGCGCCGACTGGCCATCCGCCGCCGATACCGCCGGTGCTGAGAGGGTTCAGGTTACAGATGATCCGGCGTCCTGCGACCAATAAAACTAACAAACCTCGGCGGCGGGACGCTCTAACATGAAACAGTGGCGTGTCGGCGTCTGTATGATGGAGCGTTATTGCGGCTTATCCATGGACGTGAACGGCCCCCCGGAGACTGCCCATGGGAAGACAAACTGAGGGCGGGCCCGCTATGTATCGCGTGACCTTTGGTCTGACGGGGAGGCACTCTTCAATCAGTGGTGTCAGACAAATAAGCCACCCAAAACTCCAATAAGCTCTTTAGATTGCTGGCGGTGCACCGGTTTGAAAATCACGTCGTTTGTTGTATTTATTGACGGTGCCGGTCTGCCGACGGTATCTTCTGGAGCAGGGCTCTCCCCGTGTCGGCCTCAGGGGCTGGTGACCGGCCGCCGTTGGGAGCGGTACTCTGACCTGGGTACTCTGTCCAGAGGGCAGACCAGGGTCGCCGGTCCCCTGGGGATAGGGGAGCCAGGCCATTCTGCAGCCTCTGAACTGGCCAGGGCCCCAAGCTCGGCCACTCTCGTTGTCAGTCGGGAATCGATGATCATATCGAGGGTTCTGTCTGCACTGGACGGTTTCTGCACGGCTGCCGGCTGCCTCTGCGGCCGGTCTGACCATGGGGCGGCACGGACCGGCGAGTCGGACCCCGCCGTCTGATCCCGCATCTGATACCGCCGCCTGATCCCGCCGTCTGATCCGCGTCTGATCCCGTGTCTGATCCCGCGTCTGATCCCGCGTCTGATCCCGCGTCTGACCAGCCGTCCGATACCGCACAGAACGCTGGCGGTACCGGCGGCATCAGACCGTCCCGACAACAGCAGAGATCGGCGGCGGTCACCGGCGACAGCAGAGATCGGCGGCGGTCACCGGCGACAGCAGAGATGGGTGGCGGTCACCGATGCCGCGCCGTGGCCTTGGTGCGGGAGGTGCGCCCGCCGGACAGGCCGGACAGGCCGCGCCCGGCCGCCGGACTGCACGGGCAGCGGGCTCGGGTCGGCGGACACCCGCTGTCGCACACCCCCGCTGGCTGGGAGCGGCCGGCGCACACCCTGGCTGCTGCCGGTGGCCGGTCGGTGGCCCCTCGCTGTCGGTCGACGGCCCCCCGCTGTCGGTCGGCGGCCCCTGGCTGGCTGGGAGCGGTCGGCACTGTCGGTGGCCGGTCGGCGCATATACCCTCGCTAGTGTCCGCGATAGGAATCCGATCATCGGCTGAATCCGGGCAGCGGCTGACGCAACGCTGTCCGGAAAACTCGGCGCGGTTTCATCAGCCAGTTTCATGGCGATCCTTATTACTTTATTAAGCTCCCTGCACACAGCTCCGAGGGATCGTGGCATACTGCCCTGCCTGACCGCTGTGCGTCCTTGGGTGCACTGAGCGCTGAGAGGGATATGATCCGACGCTCCTACTGGTCAGGGGGATATGGTCCGACGCCCCGAGCGATTAACTAGACGGATATGGTCCGACGCTCCTACTGGTCAGGAGGATATGGTCGGACGCTCCGAGCGATTAATTAGACGGATATGATCCGACGCTCCTACTGGTCAGGAGGATATGGTTGGACGCCCCGAGCGATTAATTAGACGGATATGATCCGACGCTCCTACTGGTCAGGGGGATATGGTCCGATGTTTGTACTGGTCAGGGGGATATGATCCGACGCTCCTACTGGTCAGGAGGATATGGTCGGACGCCCCGAGCGATTAATTAGACGGATATGGTCCGACGCTCCCAGTACCTATGTGAATGGGTCTGGTCCGACGATCCGAGCGGTGCGATGGATCTGGTCCGGGTGCCCCTGCGCGCGCCTCGTGCCGGGCTGACGCGTGTCGCTGCAGTGCCATTATTTCTGTATTATTGCTGTACTTGTGTGGATTCGCCGTCGGGAGCATGTAGTGAATGCTCCAAGGAGCGAGAAGGAACGATTGTTTACATTATTTTTTTTTTACGTTCGTGACTCGTGAGCCTACTACGGTGAACTATTTCATTATTTATCGCTATTGGAGATGGAACGTTCCACCAATTCCTCCCCTTCACAACAAGCGCAATGCAGCATCTGATAGTAGCTACTGCTATCTGAGCTACCAGAGGCGATGTTTGTCGGATATGAGTCCTGCATTGCTGTCCAATGGCAATGTCCATTGTCCATGTCTGCTGGACATTGGGTATGGACTGCGGACTGCGGCCCATGCCGGTCGGACATAGACGACTGCTTTTCTATAGGAACGGGTGGGAGCTGCACTCGTGCTCCTGTCCACAGTGTATATAAATGCTCCTGTCTTTCGGGGAGTGGGATTGCATACCTCGGAAGGGACTCTCCGGCCGGCCGCCGCCCGATACTCTCAGACGCGGCTCAGAGCGGCTCAGAGCGGCTCAGACGCGACACAGAGTGGCTCAGACGCGACTCAGAGCGGCTCAGACGCGGCTGCACCATCTGCACCGGCAGCAGGCCGCGCCCTGCAGCACCGTTTGTGGAGCACGCCCAACCTGTACCCGCCAGCAGCCGGATCGACCTGTACCTGCCAGCAGTCGAATCGCCTCGAGTGTGGCGGGAGGTGGCGTGCCTCGTCAGGACCTGCGCTGCTCACATGGGTCAAAACACAGCTACTTCTGGGAGTGGGTGTTTGTCACCGGATGGTATACGACTGTGTGTACCGGTGTGGTGAACACCGTTTGTCTGACTGACCCGTTGGTGGCAGCTGCGCCCCTGTGATCGTTACCCTCTGCCGCTCACTATGTGACGCTGCTGTGGTGTGCCCTGTGTGCCCTGTGTTACCCGTGTGCCCTGTGTACCCTGTGTGTCCTGTGTGCCCTGTGTGCCCTGTGTGACCTGTGACCTGTGTGCCGTGTGTTCCCGGCAGCACGCCGCTGCATTTCGGCGACTCGCTGCGTCTGACGCGGGCCTCCAAGCAGTACATGTATGACGACTCCAACACCGAGTATCTGGACTGCATCAGCAGCACCGCACACGGTCAGTGTCCCCCCCCCGGTGTCCCCACCGGTGTCCCCCCTCCGGTGTCCCCCTCCGGTGTCCCCCAGGCAACCAGTGTCCCTCACTGTCCCCCCTGCAGTGTCCCCCAGTATTCCCAGTGTCCTCTCGGTGTCCCCCAATATTCCCGGCTGTCCCCCTGACGCCCAGTATCCCCCCTACTATCCCCAGTGGGCCACTGCCACCCGCTGGTGGTCCCAGTGTCCCCCTGACGCCCAGTACCTCACCCCCAGTGGGCCACTGCCACCCGCTGGTGGTCCACATTGTACCCCTGACGCCCAGTATCCCCCCGTATATCCCCCAGTGGTCCACTGCCACCCGCTGGTGGTTCACATTGTACCCCTGACGCCCAGTATCCCCCCTACTATCCCCAGTGGGCCACTGCCACCCGCTGGTGGTGACGCAGTGTCCCCCTGACGCCCAGTATCCCCCCTGTATATCCCCCAGTGGGCCACTGCCACCCGCTGGTGGTGGTCCACAGTATGCCCCTGACGCCCAGTGTCCCCTGTATATCCCCCAGTGGGCCACTGCCACCCGCTGGTGGTCCACATTGTACCCCTGACGCCCAGTATCCCCCCTGTATATCCCCCAGTGGGCCACTGCCACCCGCTGGTGTTGACGCAGTGTCCCCCTGACGCCCAGTATCCCCCCTGTATATCCCCCAGTGGGCCACTGCCACCCGCTGGTGGTGGTCCACAGTGTGCCCCTGACGCCCAGTATTCCCTGTATATCCCCCAGTGGGCCACTGCCACCCGCTGGTGGTCCACAGTGTCCCCCTGACGCCCAGTATCCCCCCTGTATATCCCCCAGTGGGCCACTGCCACCCGCTGGTGTTGACGCAGTGTCCCCCTGACGCCCAGTATCCCCCCTGTATATCCCCCAGTGGGCCACTGCCACCCGCTGGTGGTGGTCCACAGTGTGCCCCTGACGCCCAGTATTCCCTGTATATCCCCCAGTGGGCCACTGCCACCCGCTGGTGGTCCACAGTGTCCCCCTGACGCCCAGTATCCCCCCTGTATATCCCCCAGTGGGCCACTGCCACCCGCTGGTGGTGGTCCACAGTGTCCCCCTGACGCCCAGTATCCCCTGTATATCCCCCAGTGGGCCACTGCCACCCGCTGGTGGTCCACAGTGTCCCCCTGACGCCCAGTATCCCCTGTATATCCCCCAGTGGGCCACTGCCACCCGCTGGTGGTCCACAGTGTGTCCCTGACGCCCAGTATCCCCTGTATATCCCCCAGTGGGCCACTGCCACCCGCTGGTGGTCCACAGTGTGCCCCTGACGCCCAGTATCCCCTGTATATCCCCCAGTGGGCCACTGCCACCCGCTGGTGGTCCACAGTGTGCCCCTGACGCCCAGTATCCCCCCTACTATCCCCAGTGGGCCACTGCCACCCGCTGATGGTCCCACAGTGTCCCCCTGACGCCCAGTATCTCACCCCCAGTGGGTCACTGCCACCCGCTGGTGGTCCACAGTGTCCCCCTGACGCCCAGTATCCCCCCTACTATCCCCCAGTGGGCCACTGCCACCCGCTGGTGGTGACGCAGTGTCCCCCTGACGCCCAGTATCCCCCCTGTATATCCCCCAGTGGGCCACTGCCACCCGCTGGTGGTGGTCCACAGTATGCCCCTGACGCCCAGTGTCCCCTGTATATCCCCCAGTGGGCCACTGCCACCCGCTGGTGGTCCCACAGTGTCCCCCTGACGCCCAGTATCCCCTGTATATCCCCCAGTGGGCCACTGCCACCCGCTGGTGTTGACGCAGTGTCCCCCTGACGCCCACTATCCCCCCTGTATATCCCCCAGTGGGCCACTGCCACCCGCTGGTGGTGGTCCACAGTATGCCCCTGACGCCCAGTGTCCCCTGTATATCCCCCAGTGGGCCACTGCCACCCGCTGGTGGTCCCACAGTGTCCCCCTGACGCCCAGTATCCCCTGTATATCCCCCAGTGGGCCACTGCCACCCGCTGGTGGTGACGCAGTGTCCCCCTGACGCCCAGTATCCCCCTGTATATCCCCCAGTGGGCCACTGCCACCCGCTGGTGGTGGTCCACAGTATGCCCCTGACGCTCAGTGTCCCCTGTATATCCCCCAGTGGGCCACTGCCACCCGCTGGTGGTCCCACAGTGTCCCCCTGACGCCCAGTATCCCCCTGTATATCCCCCAGTGGGCCACTGCCACCCGCTGGTGGTGACGCGCGGCCAGCAGCAGATGGCGCGCCTGGTCTGGGCGCAGGGCTTCCTGTTCGACGCGCTGTCGCTCTACCTGAAGGAGCTCACCGACATGATGCCCGAACAGCTCAGCGTCTGCTACCTGGTCAACTCCGGGTACGTCCGGGTCCGGGTCCGGATACACACTCCGGATACACACCGGTACACACTCCGGATACACACCGGTACACACTCCGGATACACACCGGTACACACTCCGGTTCCGGGTCCGGTCCGGGTACACACTCGGGGTATACACACCGGATACACACACCGGTACATACTCCGGGTCCGGGTCCGGATACACACTCCGGATACACACTCGGGGTATACACACCGGTACATACTCCGGGTACGGGCCCGGTCCGGGTACACACTCTATACACACCGGTACATACTCCGGGTACGGGTCCTGCCCGGGTACACACTCGGGGTATACACTCCGGTACGGGTACATACTCCGGGTACGGGTAAGGTCCGGGTACACACTGCGGATACACACTCCGGTACATATTCCGGGTACGGGCCCGGTCCGGGTACACACTCGGGGTATACACTCCGGTACAAACTTAACTGCCACTAAAGGCACGTCTGAACTCAGGGATATCCCGGCCTGCAGGTGCTGCCTGTTTGTCACCATACAGGTCTGTGACTATTTCCACTGTGACGGCTGTTTGTTGTCTCGTCTGGCACCGCCAGGTATCCGCTGTCAGTGCTGTTCGAATGGTGCGTACCTGCAGCTCTGTGACGGCCCCGCCCGGGGACCTCTGACCTCCTCTGTGACCCCGGCCTGGACCCGGGGACCTGTGACCTCCTCTGTGACCCCGGTCTGCGCCGGCCGGCCGCCGAGCTGACCTCTGAACTGACCTCTGACCTCTGACCTGACCCGTCCGCGCAGCTCGGAGGCCAATGACCTGGCGCTGCGGCTGGCGCGCTCCTACACCCGACAGGAGGACGTCATCGTCTTCGAGGGGTGAGTGCGTACAGAGCGCCGCCCAGACTGTGCCCACCCGCCAGTGGGCGCTGACTGTCTGCTGGATAAACCTCCCAGTGTGTGTGGCGCGATACGCACCGGACGGTGGGGTTGGACCGCTTCTGTGCCACCCCCCCCCCCCCCCCATCAGCCTCAAACTGTACCACCAGCCTCAAACTCTCCCCAGAGGGGGAGGGGGTACAGGGACTAATATAGGCATATTAGTCCCAAAGTGTCCCCTGTGCCGCCCCCAAAGCGTACATTTTCCCCAACTGTCCCTGTGCCGCCTCCAGGGCGTACGATAGTCCCAAACTGTCTCCTGTACCGCCCCCGCAGCGTGCATTAATCTCAAATAATCCCCTGTGCCGCCCTCAGGGCGTACGATAGTCCTAAACTGTCCCCTGTGTCGCCCTCAGAGCGTACCACCAGTCCCAAACTGTCCCCTGTGCCGCCTTCAGAGCGTATATTAATCTCAAATTGTCCCCTGTGCCGCCCTCAGAGCGTATATTAATTCTAAACTGTCCCCTGTGCCGCCCCCAGAGCGTATACTAATCCCAAACTGTCCCCTGTGCCGCCCTCAGAGCGTATATTAATCCCAAACTGTCCCCTCTGCCGCCCTCAGAGCGTACCACTAGTCCCAAACTGTCCCCTGTGCCGCCCTCAGGGCGTATATTAATCCCAAACTGTCCCCTGTGCCGCCCTCAGAGCGTATATTAATCCCAAACTGTCCCCTGTGCCGCCCTCAGAGCGTACCACTAGTCCCAAACTGTCCCCTGTGCCGCCCTCAGAGCGTATATTAATCCCAAACTGTCCCCTGTGCCGCCCTCAGAGCGTATATTAATCCCAAACTGTCCCCTGTGCCGCCCTCAGAGCGTAAATTAATTCCAAACTGTCCCCTGTGCCGCCTCCAGAGCGTACAGCAGTCCTAAACTGTCCCCTGTGCCGCCCTCAGAGCGTATATTAATCCCAAACTGTCCCCTGTGCCGCCCTCAGAGCGTATATTAATCCCAAACTGGCCCCTGTGCCGCCCTCAGAGCGTACCACTAGTCCCAAACTGTCCCCTGTGCCGCCCTCAGAGCGTATATTAATCCCAAACTGTCCCCTGTGCCGCCCTCAGAGCGTACCACTAGTCCCAAACTGTCCCCTGTGCCGCCCTCAGAGCGTATATTAATCCCAAACTGTCCCCTGTGCCGCCCTCAGAGCGTATATTAATCCCAAACTGTCCCCTGTGCCGCCCTCAGAGCGTAAATTAATTCCAAACTGTCCCCTGTGCCGCCTCCAGAGCGTACAGCAGTCCTAAACTGTCCCCTGTGCCGCCCTCAGAGCGTATATTAATCCCAAACTGTCCCCTGTGCCGCCCTCAGAGCGTATATTAATCCCAAACTGTCCCCTGTGCCGTCCCCAGAGCGTACCACGGCAACCTGGGCAGTGTGGCCGACATCAGTCCGAAACTGTTTCCGGCCGCGCCGCCCGAGAACAACGGCAGGCGGCGGCACGTGCATGTGGCGCCTCTGCCGGACACCTACCGGGGGCGGTACCGCGAGACGGACCCGGACCCAGGTGAGCGGTGGACCCGGACCCAGGTGAGCGGTGGATCCCGGACCCAGGGGAGGCGCGAACCCAGGTGAAGACGCCTCTCCCTCCGGCCTAGTGGGGACTGACCCTGCTGGCAATTTTACATTGTGTTGTCACTCTTGTTAGCACGCTATGTTGCGTTGCGTCTCTGATATATAGAAGGGATGCTCGCTGTTCATCTTCCCACTCGTCTGTCCGTGCTAAATGGCGCAGAAGGCGCGGCTTAACGTGGGTCAATCACCGCAGTGTCCCAGTGATGGCCGCTGTGACCGGCTCCGCGGTAACTCGGGTGTGCTCCGCGGTAGTTGGGCTGTGCTCCGCGGTAGTTGGGCTGTGCTTCACGCGCTGCGCTGCAAGGGGCGCTGTTCGCACGTTACCCACAGGGGCGTGTGTTACCTACAGGGGCACGGTACGTGTGTGACTCTATAGTGACCGATGTATCCCACAGTGGCGTGGATCAGTGACCCGTGTGTGTCGCTCACAGGGGCGCGGGGCGCGCAGCACTGTGTACTATACTGTGTGTACTGTGTGTACTGTGTGTACTGTACTGTGTGTACTGCACTGAGTGTACAGTGACGGGCCGTGTGTCGCCGCCAGGGGCGCGGTACGCGCAGCACGTGGAGCGGCTGCTGGAGCGGATGGAGTCAGAGGGCCGCCGCGTGGCCGCCTTTATGTCCGAGTGTCTGGTGACCCAGTGCGGCATGGTGGCGCCGCCCGAGGACTATTTCCGACGGGTCTACAGGTGGGCACCGGGGCAGCTTGTCCGCTTAAGGGCAGCGCACGGGTCCCGTACGAGCAGAGTTTTCGAGGGTGTTCCGTGTTTGTGTCAGACCGTCTGCTACATCCTGGTGCGGCCGCAGTGCTGTGTTTGTGGCAGGCTGTCTGTGTTTGTTACTGTCTGTGTTTGTGGCAGGCTGTCTGTGTTTGTTACTGTCTGTGTTTGTGGCAGGCTGTCTGTGTTTGTTACTTTCTGTGTTTGTGGCATGCCGCCTGTGTTTGTGACTGTATGTGTTTGTGGCAGGCTGTCTGTGTTTGTGACTGTCTGTGTTTGTGACTGGCCGTCTGTTGCAGCCTGGTGCGGCCGCAGTGCTGTGTTTGTGGCAGGCCGCCTGTGTTTGTTACTGTCTGTGTTTGTGTCAGTCTGTATGTGTTTGTTACTGTCTGTGTTTGTGACTGTCTGTGTTTGTGGCAGGCTGTCTGTGTTTGTTACTGTCTGTGTTTATGACTGTCTGTGTTTGTGACTGGCCGTCTGTTGCAGCCTGGTGCGGGCGCGCGGCGGCGTGTGCGTTATGGACGAGGTGGCCACCGGGCTGGGACGGATCGGCACCCACACGTGGGCCTTCGAGGTGAGCGCCGCGACCGCCGGGACTGACCTCCCACAGAGCGGGGACTGACCTCCCACAGACAGGGAATGACCTCCCACAGACAGAAATTGCCCCTCCCCCTCGCACAGACAACTGCTTTTTGTGGTGTCTGACTTGACAAAGTCTTCCATACAAAGCTACTGGGCTTTCAGTGTATGATGAATAATGTCCTATGTTTATGTTATCAAATGTATGCTGTTAGTATCTACAATGTCCATGTCCCCACATTGTCCCCACAGTCGTACGGCGTGGTGCCGGACATTGTCACATTGGGCGGCACGCTGGGGAACGGCCACCCGATGTCGGCCGTGGTGACGCGCCGAGACATCGCCGAGACTCTCTCCGAGTACCTCTCCACGGTGAGCCATAGTACCCCCACGGTGAGCCATAGTACCCCCACGGTGAGCTACAGTAGCTCCCTCGGTGAGCACTACAGTACCTCTCCACGGTGAGCCATAGTACCCCCACGGTGAGCCATAGTACCCCCACGGTGAGCTACAGTAGCTCCCTCGGTGAGCCATAGTACCCCCACGGTGAGCCATAGTACCCCACGGTGAGCTACAGTAGCTCCCTCGGTGAGCACTACAGTACCTCTCCACGGTGAGCTATAGTACCTCTCCACGGTGAGCTACAGCAGTACCTCTCTACGGTGAGCTATAGTACCTCTCCACGGTGAGCTACAGTACCCCCCCCCCCTCGGTGAGCTACAGTACCTCTCCATGGTGAGCTACAGTACATCTCCACGGTGAGCCATAGTACCCCCCCCCCATGGTGAACTATAGTACCTCTCCACGGTGAGCTATATTACCTCTCCACGGGGAGCTATAGTACCTCTCCATGGTGAGCTATAGTACCTCTCCACGGTGAGCCTTAGTACCCCCACGGTGAACCACAGTAACCCTCCCCCATGTTGAGCCACAGTAACTCTGTACGGTGAGCTACCACAGTATGTGCTTTCCTAGTTTGGCGGTAACCCGATGTATATATGTCCTCTGTTGGGCGGAAATCTGGTGTCGATATGTCCCCAGTTTGGCGGTAACCCAGTGTCGTCTGTTATCCCCAGTTTGGCGGCACCCGGTGCCTTGGTGTTATCCCCAGTTTGGCGGTAACCCAACGGCGTGTGTCATGACTCCAGTTTGACAGTAACCTGGTGTATTTATACATACCTGGTTTGGTGGTACCCGTTGTCTGTTATCCTCAGTTTGGCGGTAACCCCGGGTTGTCGTGTATTGTCCTCAGTTTGGCGGTTACCTTGGGTGTCGTGTATTATCCTTAGCTTGGCGGTAAGCCTCTGTCGTGTGTTACCCCCAGTTTGGCGGTAACCCGTTGTCGTCTGTTATCCCCAGTTTGGCGGTAACCCGGTGTCGTGTGTTACCCCCAGTTTGGCGGTAATTCGTTTTGTGTTTCCCCAGTTTGGCCGTAACCCTCTGTCGTGTGTTACCCCCAGTTTAGCGGTAACCCTGTGTTGTGTGTTATCCCCAGTTTGGCGGTAACCCTGTGTGTATTACCCCCAGTTTGGCCGTAACCCTCTGTCGTGTGTTACCCCCAGTTTGGCGGTAACCCTGTGTGTATTACCCCCAGTTTGGCGGTAACCCGGTGTCGTATGTATCCCCGGTTTGGCGGTAACCCGGTGTCGTGTGTTATCCCCAGTTTGGCGGTAACCCGGTGTCGTGTGTAATGTGTATGTGTATCTCCAGTTTGGCGGTAACCCGTTGTTTGTATTACCCCCAGTTTGGCGGTAACCTTCTGTCGGGTGTTACCCCCAGTTTGGCGGTAACCCGGTGTCGTATGTATGTGTATTGTGTACCTCCAGTTTGGCGGTAACCCTCTGTCGTGTGTTACCCCCAGTTTGGCGGTAACCCGGTGTCGTGTGTATTACCCCCAGTTTGGCGGTAACCCGGTGTCGTGTGTTACTCCCAGTTTGGCGGTAACCCTCTGTCGTGTGTTACCCCCAGTTTGGCGGTAACCCGGTGTCGTGTGTATTACCCCCAGTTTGGCGGTAACCCGGTGTCGTGTGTTACTCCCAGTTTGGCGGTAACCCTCTGTCCTGTATTACCCCCAGTTTGGCGGTAACCCTCTGTCGTGTGTTACCCCCAGTTTGTCGGTAACCCGTTGTGTGTATTACCCCCAGTTTGGCGGTAACCCTCTGTCGTGTATTACCCCCAGTTTGGCGGTAACCCGGTGTCGTGTGTATTACCCCCAGTTTGGCGGTAACCCGGTGTCGTGTGTTACTCCCAGTTTGGCGGTAACCCTCTGTCCTGTATTACCCCCAGTTTAGCGGTAACCCTGTGTTGTGTGTTACCCCCAGTTTGTCGGTAACCCGTTGTGTGTATTACCCCCAGTTTGGCGGTAACCCTCTGTCGTGTATTACTCCCAGTTTGGCGGTAACCCTCTGTCGTGCATTACCCCCAGTTTGGCGGTAACCCGGTGTCGTGTGTATTACCCCCAGTTTGGCGGTAACCCGGTGTCGTGTGTTACTCCCAGTTTGGCGGTAACCCTCTGTCCTGTATTACCCCCAGTTTAGCGGTAACCCTGTGTTGTGTGTTATCCCCAGTTTGGCGGTAACCCTGTGTGTATTACCCCCAGTTTGGCGGTAACCCTCTGTCGTGTATTACCCCCAGTTTGGCGGTAACCCGGTGTCGTGTGTAACCCCCAGTTTGGCGGTAACCCGGTGTCGTGTGTTACCCCCAGTTTGGCGGTAACCCGGTGTCGTGTATTACCCCCAGTTTGGCGGTAACCCGTTGTGTGTATTGCCCCCAGTTTGGCGGTAACCCTGGGTGTATGTGTATCTCCAGTTTGGCGGTAACTCGGTGTCGTGTGTATGTGTATCTCCAGTTTGGCGGTAACCCGGTGTCGTGTCTATCCCCAGTTTGGCGGTAACCCGGTGTCGTGTCTATCCCCAGTTTGGCGGTAACCCTCTGTCGTGTATTACCCCCAGTTTGGCGGTAACCCGGTGTCGTGTGTATTACCCCCAGTTTGGCGGTAACCCGGTGTCGTGTGTTACTCCCAGTTTGGCGGTAACCCTCTGTCCTGTATTACCCCCAGTTTAGCGGTAACCCTGTGTTGTGTGTTATCCCCAGTTTGGCGGTAACCCTGTGTGTATTACCCCCAGTTTGGCGGTAACCCTCTGTCGTGTATTACCCCCAGTTTGGCGGTAACCCGGTGTCGTGTGTAACCCCCAGTTTGGCGGTAACCCGGTGTCGTGTGTTACCCCCAGTTTGGCGGTAACCCGGTGTCGTGTATTACCCCCAGTTTGGCGGTAACCCGTTGTGTGTATTACCCCCAGTTTGGCGGTAACCCTGGGTGTATGTGTATCTCCAGTTTGGCGGTAACTCGGTGTCGTGTGTATGTGTATCTCCAGTTTGGCGGTAACCCGGTGTCGTGTCTATCCCCAGTTTGGCGGTAACCCTCTGTCGTATATTACCCCCAGTTTGGCGGTAACCCGGTGTCGTGCGCCGTCGGCCTGGCTGTGCTCGAGGTGATGCGCACCGAGAAGCTGATGACGTCGGCCACCAACGTGGGCCGCTTCCTCAAGGACAGCCTCACCCAGCTGGCCGGCTCCCACGGCTGCATAGGTACAGCTGCTGACAGACACAACCCGACCGGCGCGGTGGTACAATGAACCGTGGTGTTCATAAATGACCCAAGCATTTATCACACTGACCTAATGACTTACATCAATATGCTGTTCAAAATTCACCCACCCGAGCACGAGCTCCTACACGCAAGCTTTAACGCTCCGGCCCGCGAACCGAAATCGTCACTGATCATCATTGACCAATGAGCCAATGAGCTCGAGCACTGCTTACCAGTTATGCTGAATGATCTGTGAAACATTTTCAGCGTTGACCGCACGTGGGTGTGCGTGTCATCACAGTCCTGAGTCCCCTTTATGTGTCACAGGCGACGTGCGTGTCCTCACAGTGCCCTCTCTCTACCACAGGCGACGTGCGGGGCTCGGGCCTGTGTCTCGGCGTGGAGATCGTCTCCAGCCGGCAAAGCCGGAAGCCCGACCCGACGCTGGCCAGACAAATCTGCTTCGGGTCAGTGCCTCTGCCTTCCCCGGTTGCAACTTCTCCCCTGTGGAGGCAGTATGTGTTCTGACAATATCTCCCCCCGCTGCACCGTCTCCCCGCGGCGGCAGTATCTCCTATATCTCCACACAGTGCCAGTATCTCCCCGGGTTAGCAGTATATCTCCACACAGTGCCAGTATCTCCCCGCGGTAGCAGTAATCTCCACACAGTGCCAGTATCTCCCCGGGGTAGCAGTATATCTCCACACAGTGGCAGTATCTCCCCGGGGTAGCAGTATATCTCCACACAGTGCCAGTATCTTCCCGGGGTAGCAGTGATCTCCACACAGTGTCAGTATCTCCCCGCGGTAGCAGTATCTGCCTACGGTAGCAGACTGCCATAATAACGCGCCACCACTAGCAGAGCCGCCCACGGCCTCTGCCCGCCCTGCGAGTCTGTGGCCCGTCATGTTCCCTCTGCTCTCCCCTCTGACCCGCCCCGTGCCCTCTGACCTCCGCTCTGACCTCCCCCCCCGCTTACCCCGCCAGTCTGCGCGAGGAGCGGATCCTGGCCACCACGTGCGGCCCGGCTGCCAACGTGCTCCAGCTGACGCCGCCCATGTGTTTCACCATGACGAACGCGCGCACGCTGCTCTCGGCAGTGGACGCGGTGCTGGGCCGGCTGCTGCGGCGGCGCGCCGAGGGCGGCGGTGACTCGGCCTGCGCCGGCGAGTCCAGGTGAGAGGCTGCTGCACGGCCGGCGGCCGGCGCCAAAACGGCCCGCCAAAACGGCCGGCGCCAAAACGGCCCGCCAAAACAGCCCCCTGGCGGCCGGCCAGTCCCGGGCTGTTATTGCGTGCTGCCCATTTGCCGGGCCGCTGTGCCGTTTAGTCTCTTGTTCGCCTGTGTGTTGTGTGGGCGTCCAGCTGTTCGCCCGAGTGTTTTGCCCTCCCCGTTTCGGTCGACCCCCCCCTGACGCGGCGGCCCGTTTCAGCTCGTCGCTGTGGCGCTCCGAGGAGCTGCTGGAGAGCTCTGCGCGGCTGGCGGCCGCCTCCGGGCCCGCCGGTCCGGCCGGCGCGGCGCGCGGCGCCACGCGGCCCAGGGCCGACGGCGACTCGGACACAGATCCAGAGCGGCTGCAGCGCCAGGAGGCCAAGCGCCGCCGCGTCTACGAGGAGGTGGACTGACCGGCCGGGCCGGACTGGACGGGACTGATTTGGACTGAGCTGGCCGCCGCAGTCGGCTCTGCTTCGCTGCAGCCGGGAACCAGGTGGCTCTGAGCTCGCCTGCGAACATGGAGCCGGCGCGGCCCGTGCCATGTGGCTCAAAGTCACACAAATCTCTGCGGCTGCTGCGTCCTGCGCGTGTCGGCGCAGACCGTCACTGGCAGTGACCTGCTGCCCCGGTACCTGAACCCAGCAGCGCCGTGCTGCACCGGTACCTGAGCCCGGCGGCGCTGGGTGCGCCCTGGTACCTGAACCCAGCTGGGTCCGCCCCGGTACCTGAAGCCGGGTCCGCCCCGTTACCTGAGCCCAGCGGCGCCCAGCCGGCCGCCGGGCCCGCTGGCGGCGTCACCCGGCCCTGTTCTAGCAGCGGCGCGGTGTGCCGCGTCGGTGGGCGGTGCCCGCTGGGCTGTGGGGACACTGGACAGTGCCCGCTGGGCTGTGTGTGTGGACAGTGTCCGCTGGGCTGTGGGGGGGGGGGTTGAGCCCGCTGGGCTGTGGGGACACTGGACAGTGTCCGCTGGGCTGTGTGGACAGTGTCCACTGGGCTGTGTGTGTGTGTGGACAGTGCCCGCTGGGCTGCTGTGGGGACAGTGCCCGCTGGGCTGTGTGTGGACAGTATCCGCTGGGCTGTATGTGGGCGGTGTCCGCTGTCCGTCTGTCTGTGTATGGCCCGCTGGGCTGTGTGTGGGCGGTGTCCGCTGTCCGTATGTCTGTGTATGGCCCGCTCGGCGCTGGGCGCTGTCCGGGCCGCCGGTGTCGGGCGCGGGTGTGTGGCTGTGATCCGTGGGCCGCGGCCGCGGCGGCCCTAATAGCTGCAGAGCAGAGGGATGGGTCGGACCAGGTTGTTGTTGTTGTTGTTGTTGTTCCTCCCGGTCACCGCCGAGGCGGTGACGGAGCCACGCGGCTCTTGTGGGCCGCGTAGCCGGCGGCCAAGGCCGCCACCACGTCGTCGCGCTGTACGTCTCGGGCCGTGCCTGTGATGTTACCCAGCGCTTGGAGGCGGGGGCCGAACAGGCACGGGCACTCCAGTAGTACGTGCGCCGGGGTGTCCGCGGCCTCGCCACAGACGAGACAACGGCCCGCCGGGCATGTGATGTCGTTGCACTGAGCGCACTCGGGTGTCGGTCTGCGCCCAATGCGGTGGAGATATTGTTCCGACCGTCCCCAGTGTCCCGATCGGAGTTGATGTATGTCGATGGCCTCCTCCCTGGTAGCGGCTCGGACCGGGTCGGGGGCGCGGTCCGCCATGACGTCTCGGTACCAGCCCGCAGGCCGGCTCGCTCGCCACTCCCTGCCGGCGACCCGCGCAGCAGCCCCCGTGAGGGTGCGGGCGTCGACCGGCGTCGTCCGCTGGGACATCCCGGCCGCCTCCTTCGCTAATGCGTCCGCCCTCTCATTACCCGGGAGCCCGCAGTGAGCCGGTACCCATTGGAGGTGAATTGAGCTGTTGCTTGCTTGTAGGCGCAGCAGTTGGGTCCACACACTGGCACCCAATGTTGTGGTCTGGGCCGAGGCGCCTGCAGCCAGCGTTAGCAGGGCCGCCCTGGAGTCCAGGCAGGCGACCACCGGCAGGCCCGCGCTTCTCGGCAGTTCAGCGACTGCCTCCAGCGCTGCCAGCAGCGCGGCGAGCTCCGCGCGCGTGCTGGAGCACAGGCGGCCAGCAGGGACCCTCAGCTCCCAGTCATCTTCGGTTGGGGTGCGGATCAGGGCGCCGCCCCCGCCATTGGCGACGCCGTCCTCCGCCGATCCGTCCGACCATATCCAGACGGCTTCCTCAGGTAGCTCCCGGATACGCTCTTCAGCTGCGGCACGCCGAACGTCTTCCGGGGCCGCACGTCTGGCCCGCGGGCCGAGGTCCAGATGGAAGTGGACGGTAGAGTTGTCGGCCCACGGCGGCAGGGTGTGGTGGAGGCGGGCCTCGACGGGTATGTCTTGCGCGTCGGCCGCCGCGAGCGCGGCGGCGCCCACCTCGCGCCATCCTGTGGTCTTGAGTCGTCGAGGGACGACCGCCTCCCCGACCGACCTCAGCGGGTCTCCCTCGGGGAGGGACGCCGCGAGTCCCACCATTCTCGCTGCCAGTGCCTGTCTCCTGGACCAGGCATCTGTCATGCCGGCCTCGGACATCAGGGCGTGCACCGGAGTAGATGCCGTGCATCCGGTCACTGCCCGCGCGGCCGCGCGCAGCTCCCGATCGATCAGCTCGACGTGCGAGGGCGATGCCGCCGGCAGCCACGCAGCCGCGGCGTACTCCAGCGCACCGCGGACGTAGCCGTTGGCGACGGTTCGTAGTTGTTGTTCGCCGAGGCCCCACGATCGGCCGGTCAGCTTCTTCAGCTGGGCGGTCCTTGGTCTGACCCTGCGGCGGAGGTCGGTGCAGTGTGGTCCAAAATGGAGGAGACGGTCGAAGGTCACGCCGAGGAGGCGGAGCTGGGAGCCCGCCTTCACTGACACTCCAGCGACCTTCACGGTCAGCTCACCGGCGTCCCTGGCCCATTGTGAGAGAACAATGGCCTGGGTCTTTTCACCCGCCACCCTCATCTTCCAGCGGTCCGCCCAGGCGGCGATAATGTCCGCCGACTTCTGTGCCCTTTCCTTTGCCAGGGCAATAGAGCTCCCACCGCTGAGGGTTGCGGTGTCGTCCGCGTACATGTACGTCGTGGTGTGTGGCACTCGTCGCAGCTCCAAGATGAGGTCGGCAGCCCACAGGGTGTACAGCGTCGGGGCCAGGACGCTGCCCTGCGGGAGACCGGCCCTGAAGACTCGTTCAGCACTCCGGGCGCCGTTCACCTCCACAGACGCCCGGCGGTCGCGCAGGAATGCCCAGATCCAGCGAACCAGACAGGCAGGTAGGCCCAGCCGCAGGAGCTTCAGCTTGAGCATACGATGGTCGATGACGTCATAGGCGCGGCTGAAATCGTAGGCCATGAGGACGAATTTCTCGGCCGTGACGCCATCGATCGGCCTTCCACGCGGCTTGGCCTTATTCCAGCCATCCTGCACTGTCTGTATCAGCCTTCCCAAATTCTCTTCTGCGGAGCGACCCCTCCTGAAGCCGACCTGTTCCGCAGGGACCATATCGTCTCTCTCTGCCAGGTGAGTCAGGCGAGCGGCTACCATCCTCTCGGCCAGCTTCGCCAGGTGAGACGTTAGCGCGATCGGTCGGTAGCTCGAAGTCAGCTTGGGGTCTTTCCCGGCTTTGGTGTAGGGGTTTCACGCATCGGAACCTGCAACCTTTTAATGGTTCCCCCCATGTACAGACATTACGCTGATCAAAGTTACTCTACAATGCCCGCCTGCCACCCGGGTGTATTAAACTAAGCGGCCCGTATGATTGTTCGTTCACGTTCACCGTGGATCAGCCCGGCATCTGCCATTCCCCCAATGAAATATTTTGCTCACATTCCATTACGCTGTATTTTCGTATCGTTAGACCAGGGGCATTTATGGTTCACACACTTACGCTCACGCACACTACCCATATCACACCTCCAAACGCACACTCATTCACGCTACGCGCCGCGCCGACGAATATAATTTAGGTGAGACTGTCCTGGATATAAACGGGAGTGCCCACCGCTATTTGCGGCGGGTCGGAAAGCCAAATGAAATCCAGGACATTTGTCGGGGACTTCCGCAGCGCCTGGGCGCTGCGGCATTAATTTAGGGGGGGGGGAGGGAAAAGTTCGCTTACCGAAAGGTGTTGCCCCGACGACACCGCACTGGCAAATGCCACGAGAGACGGGTCCGCGAGTCCCAGGTGCCGGCCAGCCGCTGCCTTTCACCCGGCGGGCACGCCTTTCCCGCCGGAGGCTATCGCACGGCGGACTGGCCTCACACGCACTCTGGTACTCCGGCCCGCCGCTCCTCACCGACGTACGCGTCGCGCTAAATTTTGCCCTTACATAATAATACCCCCTCCCACGGACGGTGAAAAAGGGTCCCCTTACTCCCCCGGGTGAGAACCTTTCCACTATCTCATTCGCGCTTGACAATCATTACACCTACACAACACATGCGACATACATTCTACAGACATCTTACATACCTACATTCTACAGACACCCGCCCCACGCCTTACATGCACGGTCGCCCTGCCCACGCTCCCGCTCATCGCCCCATTGTTCATTCCGCCTGCCACCCTCCTGCCAAGCCCTTCTCCTGCTACTCGCATTTTTCGCAGCGCCGATCCGTTGCCAGCTCTTCCTTCCCACGCTCGCTCGTATCGCCTCGCTCTTCTGGCCCTCGACCCCCACCATGAACTGGTCCTTGGTTGGAGATCGCCTGGACTGGTAGCACACGCGCGCGATGCTCAGCCGGTAGCGCACGCTACCACCCATAGCCGGTGTTCGCGGACGGTGGACACCTTGGTGGGCGGCCGCCTCCCTGGGCGACCGCACTCTATCTCAGCGCCACCGCCGCAGTCCGGGGCTTCTTGGGCGGCAGTCGGTACCCCCTACTGGTGGTATGGAGCGTGTTCGCATGCTGCCAGGTGTTAGTTGATCGTTTCCAGCTTCATGGCCAGCTGTCGAGGGTGTCTCCTCCGGCTCGACCCGCCTCAGAGTTCGGCGGCTTCCGCTAGGCGTCCCGGGGTCGCGCCACCAGGTGGCGGCGGGCGGCGGCGGCGGCGGCTTACGGACGCAGGTGGCGCGTCGTGCCCGCCGCCGTTCACTCTGCCGCCAGCTGGTTAGCTGCTGGTAGATGGCGCTGACCACCGGGAGCTGCCCTGTAGCGTCTTTGCAGAGCGGGCCGCAGAATCAGCGGCCCAGCCAATGCAGAGCTAGCGGGCGCCGTCAGGTCAGCTAGCCCCGTTCACCGCCGCGCACCGTACCGCCGCGGCCAAATGGCGCCGCGGCTACCAGTGCATTGGGCGGCGGGAGGCTGCTAGCTGGCGCATCAAGAGGGACGGACCGAGCACCACCGTCACGCACTGCGCGGGCTGGATGGACTGCTAGCAGATGGCGCGGCGGGGCGGCGACCGAGCGCAGCCGCCCGTACTGCCGCGGCTTTTGAACGCCGCGGGGTCCGGGCAGCTGGGAAGACGGCTGGAATGGCGGAGCGGCGACCGAGCGCAGCCGCCCGTACTGCCGCGGCTCTTGAACGCCGCGGGGTCCGGGCAGCTGGGCAGACGGCTGGAATGGCGGGGCGGCGACCGAGCGCAGCCGCCCGTACTGCCGCAGCTCTTGAACGCCGCGGGGTCCGGGCAGCTGGGCAGACGGCTGGAACGGCGGGGCGGCGACCGAGCGCAGCCGCCCGTACTGCCGCGGCTCTTGAACGCCGCGGGGTCCGGGCAGCTGGGCAGACGGCTGGAAGGGCGGGGCGGCGACCGAGCGCAGCCGCCCGTACTGCCGCGGCTCTTGAACGCCGCGGGGTCCGGGCAGCTGGGCAGTCGGGTGGAATGGCGAGACGGCGACCGAGCACCGCCGCCCCCGACTTGTCACGGCACTTGTCGTCGCGGGGAGCGGCGGAGTGGCTGATGGCCCGCGCGGCGAGCTGGACAGCGGAGCACCACCGCCCGGTCGTACCGCCGAGGTCAGCTGTTCGCCGGTGGCTCCAGGCTGGCGGCTGGGCGCTGGCGAATTGGGCGACGTGGCTGTGGGCGGGCACTGGGCAGGGTCCTCCCCTCCCCTCATCATTCCGCCCTTACGATACACATACATACACAATACACATACATCGCGGCATACACACACCTACATCGCGGCACTCAGCAGCACACATGGTTACGATAATCGACAAATTTAACTCCCAGGTGCTCATGAAACATGATTATTTAACCTTTTTATACTCGTAACATCACGATACTGTGGGAAACTTTCATAACTTAATCACCGTCCGATAAATTTTGAATGGAATGTGGGTTTTTTATTAGTGATAGCGAAACCTCGAACCAGTCCGCCACCTTGTAGGAACTGATCTACCCATAGTCGAAAGAACAGGCATAACCCAAATCGGGCCCAATGCCCGACTATCCACCACTTAGGTATGTTAATTGGTGGTCTCTCTCTCTCTCTCTCTCTCTCTCTCTCTCTCTCTCTCTCTCTCTTTCTCTCTCTCTCTCTCTCTCTCTCTCTCTCTCCCTCTCTCTCTCTCTCTCCATCTCACTCATTCACTCATTCTGCTCCTCCATTTCCCGGCTCCTCCACCTTGCCTCTCCACTCTCATGCATATGTCCGTCCATGCGTCAAAGACATTGACCGAGAATACCTGAGGGTACGGGGCAAATGCGTTGAATGCCTAGGTTGGGCGGTTGGAAAGTCCGCTCCTGACACGCCCTTGCTAGCTCAGGAATTCGAGGCCAATGTCTCCTTGTCCCTTCCCTTTTGTTGCATTTGTTTTCCCAACACATCTCTCTATTCTATTCCACTCAGGCAATCCGCTTCTATCGTTCCCTGGGCCATGTCCCCCCATTCATTCACTCACTCACAATCCATTGCTCCTTCACCTCAATCATGTCTCCTCATCCCCATATGCTCATTCACCCCAGTCATGGTCTCGTCAGTCCATTCGCTCCCCTCACGTCCTCCTTCCCACGCGTCCGCCGCTCGTCGGTTCTCCCTAGTCATTTAAGTGTCCTCCCCCAGTCATTACCCGGCCCCATGCCCGCACAAACACATTCCCTCCCCAGCCCGAGACCCATCCCTCCCCAGTGCCCGGACAAACACAATCAAACCCCTGCCTTGTCCTCCCCAGCCCCGTCCCTCCCCACGACCCACGGCGCGGCGGCGGTCCACCCCTCGCGTGCCGACCGGCGCTTTCGGGCGCTTCATCGCACGACTCTCTCTCTCTCTTTCTCGCGCGACTCTGTCTCGCGCGACTCCCTGTCTCGCACGACTCTCTCGTGCGACTCTCTCTCTCTCTCTTTCTCGCGCGACTCTGTCTCGCGCGACTCTCTCGCACGACTCTCTCGCGCGACTCTCTCGCACGACTCTCTCGTGCGACCCTCTCTCTCTCTCTTTCTCGCGCGACTCTCTCGCACGACTCTCCCGTGCGTCCCTCTCTCTCTCTTTCTCGCGCGACTCTGTCTCTCGCGACTCTCTGTCTCGCACGGCTCTCTCGTGCGACTCTCTCTCTCTCTCTTTCTCGCGCGACTCTGTCTCGCGCGACTCTCTGCCTCGCACGACTCTCTCGTGCGACTCTCTCACGCGAAGCTTACTCGCGCGACTCTATCTCACGTGAACCCTACTCGCGCGACTCTCTCTCACGCGAACCTTACTCGCGCGACTCTCTCTCACGCGAACCATGCTCATTTCCTGACGCGCGAAACATCTCTTTCCCGCACGACTGCGCGACTCCTTCGCGCAATTTCCTCGCGGCGCACGCGGCGTATACTAATAACTACATGTGCATATGAAGTTTGAACACATAACAAAAACACTACTTCAACACTCATTCATCCACACTCGGCTGATCAATCCAACATTCATTTCTCGGTGGTCAGGTACCATTGCGCCATCCTCCCCTCGGGGGAGGATAACCAAAGGCAGCACTCCCACGCTGCCTCAACGATCAGGGGCGAGGTGCCTCTCTCGCTCCCAGCGCCTCAGAGGCCGCCCCTCCGACGGGTGATTAGATCAGCCGACCGGCGGAGTGAAGGGCTGTTTGGCACTGGCAGGCTGAGTTAGGGACCCACCCGGATCCCAGACGGCCAGGCCGCGCGGAGGCTCCATTCACTCTTGTGTCCATGCGCGAAAAGATCGGAATAATATAAATTAGCGGTTGAAATTAAAAAGGGCGTCAAACACCCGCGGCGAAAGCTATCAATCTGAAGGAAGACGTCCCCTAATAGTTTTCTCCCAACAGTTAAATTGCCTTAGTCATCTCCATCCAATGTATACGGTTATATGATATATTTGCTCGCGTCGCAGAGCGCTCCTAAATAAACGTACGCAAATATAGGTCGAGCCGGCTGTGGCCTGTCCAGCCTT